TTTTTTTGAATATATATATGACCAATTATGTTTTAATGTTGTTAAAAAAAGATAGAATTGTTAAAATACACTTTGCTAATGATATAAATTCTGGAGTTAAATATATAAAATTTCTTGTTCACCATGTAATTTAATTGTAATACAATTTTTAAAATAATATTTTTTGACAAATTGTAATATAGTTGTCATTATATCTTTGGTTAATTTTTGTTCTTATAATTTCAGATCTAAAAAATATGTCATTTCAATCACAGAGTGATAAATATTATTCTATATTTTCATAATAAGATTAAGAATTTTCTCTAAATATAAAATTTTTTCTAATACTATAAAATAAAATAAATAAATTATTATTAAAATTTTAATTATTAAAAATAATTAAATTTAAAAATTTATTTATCATCATTAGTTTTAAGACTTTTATACCATTTGTAAAATTGAGATATTTTTTAAGTGTTACTTTTGAATAATAGAATTCCATTTATTATTATTTTTAAAATATTTAATAAATTTTGTGTTTGGTTTCAAAAATCTTTATTTCAAATAATTGATTTGATTTTTGATTCATAGATATTGTTAATTTATTACTAAATTTAATTATGGCTAAATTAATTGCTAATTGATTATATATAATTGAATTTAAACATATTATTGATGAATTTTACTATATTTAACTAGTAATTTTAATACTTTAAAATTATTTTAGGAATAGTATGTTACTTAAAAAACTTAATTACTAATTTTACCTTAAATAAAATATCTTTTGTTTAATATAACTTATTACTATCTTTAATAAGCAAATTTAAATTATAATTAAACATTCCATATAATTTATGATTGAATATTTTTCATCTAATATTTGATAAGTCTTTTTCATCACTGAAGCATCATCTGTTATAATAGCTGAAAGTTTATTGGAATCAATTGTTGTTATAATATTTTTCAAATCAGTCACAATATTTATATTATTTTGTGAAACTTTATCTGTTGGTTTAACTGATATAAAACTGAATTTAATATAGAAAAAATATAATTTGACCAATTTTCAATATTAAACTTGATCTAATAAAATAATAAATATTTAAAAAAATTATATTTATTAACTATCACTAATGATACTTATAGACTCTGCTTCATCAATAATTTTGTCAATTTTTAATTTCCATATATACTGTATGTGTTCTAATAGAGTAGTTGATAATCATTTGACTTGATAATTTAAATAATGATCAAATTTTTTTAAATAAATTATTAATTAACTTTAAATCTGATAAAGATAAAGGCAATTCCATTGAAAAACAGCTTGTACAAATAATAGTTCAATACTGTTTTTTTCTGATTGAAAAATTCTGTCCATATAACCTTTTATATTTAAAATATTTATTTGACTATTTGTGATATTGAATGAAAGTATTGTTGTTTAACAGGTAAACTTACTTTTCTATATACTTTAAAGTATCCTTCACATCCAATAACTGATTTGTTGCATTCATGTTCACAATAATTACATTTTGCATATGCATGTTTAAAATCTTCAACCCATCCAAGTTTGATAAAATGATTCCAAATTTTGCTGGAAGAACCCATCATTCGTATTAAAAAAAGATTATACATATTGATCTGATTATATCAATCGTATTCCATATAGGCTCAAGTCCAAAAGTCAGACCAAAACCTAATCCTCTGTTAAATATATTTCTGGCACCATCGCGTCCCGATTCCTCTTCACCTCACATGAATCACAAACGTTTTTGATCCATCGAGATCATTTTTTATAAATCAATAATTTCCACACGTCTTTGATGTTGTAATAGGAGAAATGGAACGCGACAACAGTCACGTGACCGATCGATGTGCAATGGCAAGTCGGAGGAGGGACGAAAGAATTGTTAAAAAAAGAATTATGTCATCTAGCTTTAGCCTTGTCATTGTACTATCGCCTATTATTCTATGTCTAAGCCTCCATAGCCCGGTGTAAAGAAAGAGAAGTATAAATGTCATGTAAAATGTAAGAGATAGAGACAAGTAAGGAATAAAGAGAGAAGAAAATTAATAAAGACTCGGTCAAATAAAACACCTCAAATCACCCTTTAGTTCACTTACCTGACGATGATTACGCGAATCTCTGCTATATTTAACGACAGACTCGCCGTTACACCGCTACAATGTGTACTCTTCAGTGCATTAAATGATCTTTCAACTTCTTAAGTCATTCGACTTATAATGTAGAATATCCGAAACCTGAAGTGCGACCAAGTTAGTATCTCACAAGTAGTCTTTGACCGAATCTTTGCTTGTTCTTCAAACCCATTCTTGAAGACTCGAACTTTAGTAAAGGATTAATCTCGTGATTCTAGCATAGCCAACGGGCCAGCTGATGATGGCACTCATAAATTAAATTATGTATTCGTTGTATGATTTGTGGCATTTTTTTTTTCTTAATCAAAATCTCACTCTTGTTTGTTCTTCCCAAAGCAAAATCTTTATCACTCGGTAACTTGTCAAATTCCTTAGATAATAAATATTTTATTAAAATCACCGTTACCCCACTCGATTAATTAACCATCATGATCATAAACGTGCGAAAACCTGGACTGGGTGGGATTATCCAAAAAAACAGACACTCAAGTAAAAATGTTTATTGTTATGTTAATTGTATTATTGATCGTTCTGGGGTAATAATATTTTTTAGAAACGCGTGTTTCACACTGTACCTATTCCAATTCCTAGCAAGAATCGAGATGGTTTGTGTTCGATCCTTCTTTGATCGGCACTTCATTCAAAAATCTTTTCCATGCCACTTCTTGTCTATTTTGTATGCAGCTATCAATTATCGAATCACATACGAACGTACTTCCCTAGGGGTCTCTTTTACCCAGAGGAGTTCTTCAGTTGTGAAGTGCTTATCGTTCAGTTAGTACTTTCGTATGACACACATGTCGGTGACTCCATCATTCTGCGCCATCTTAAGAACCTTGTTGTGCACTTTCTTAGCTTTTCTTTCTTCGGGCATTAGATAAACTTTATACTGTATTTCGTGTTTCTAATCTCTCTTTATCGTTTTTGGTTTCCATTTGATCTGAGCCGTTGTGTCTTGCCGTGAAGATAGTAACTATGTATAAAAGGTTCTCGGTAAATTCACCGAATTCAGGTCATCAACGTTGACGTTCGAATCAAGTATCAAGATCTTTCATTCAACAAGCTCGTACGCAAATCTGCAGAGCCGATTCTTCCTGGTAACCACAGACTTCTCGATATCTCCATGGTACAATCGTTCCAAAATGGATATGAAGCACTTGCGTTTCCAGTTAAGACCTGATCTGAACAAATATTTCTGATGAGTTCGTAGTCCGGATATTTCTGCCTGAGGTACTCATATTACCCGTCAAGGTCTTTTTTCTGTTTCTCTGAGCTAGCCCTTGCATAATGGATCCTTTTATTTTTATTTATCACTTATTGAAATTTTTTTTCATGTTTTCTGATTTCTTGAGCTTCACGGTACTTTGTTGTTGACAAATATCTTCCTCAAACATACAAAAACAGGACCTGTTTGTACTTTACAATGATGTGATATGATAATTCAGCATTCGTTACCGTCAATAATCAGGCAATATAAAATAATTACCATTATTAAAAATAACAATCAGTAAAATAAATAGTAAATACCGTACGTCGCGGTGTATAGTACCCCCTTGTAATGGATATTTTAATGGCGCATATCTTTTGCCAATTACTGTATTATGTACGTAATATATATATATATTATTCTTATTCGTGTATATTGATTGGAAGACCGGCAAGTATTCTACAGGGGAGGTACTATATACACCGCGACGTACGGTAATTGACGTAAGTTTACGTACCGTACTATACGAAACAGGCTTTTTGAAGCTATAATAGCAGCGGAGGTAGTGATAATTGGAAGTCTAAACGTAATAATTCAGTATACATAAAATTAGTGAAACGTAAATAATTTGTATTTAAATTGAGCTTTGTGAAGGGTGAAATCTCATGTATAAACACAAATGGTAAAGTTATATTGCTCCCAAGAAATCAAAAGCACGGTACATATATATCGTGCTGTTACAACGAATTCTCTTACCTGGTTAACAAAGAAGTTTTTTTATCATTTTTAATTTAATTTTTCTTTTACAGTATAGATACAATAAGACATATTCCAGAATAATTAAAAGATAAATGGATAGGCAAAGCAACATTGTTCATTATGCTCGTTAGCCATGGCGTAAAAAGGAGTATAATTGAATCAAAGAGGTAAATAATATCGGAAATATAAAATATTCCGATACTGTAAATCGTCGGGTATGTACCACATTAATTTTTGTAGAACATTCTAGTTCTTGCTAATTTCCAAATTCGTTAACGGGTAATCTCTCGATGATTGTCGATGATTCCAGCAATTTAATTTAAAAAACTATAAATAATTGCGTGATCTATTGAACTGGTTCCCCAGAATAAGAACAAAAAAAAAATCCATTAAAAACAACAATTTAAACATCCCAAGCATACCTTTATACATACCTTTATACAACCAATCATAAAATGTCTAACGGTTGGGATCGAGATTTTGGTCGATTTGAATCATCCGTCTCCAATTTATTCAATGACTTCTTTAAAGACCTCAACACGGCTAGGCGTACTGGTGGATTGACTAACAGAGGCAATCATACGTCGTGGGTGCCTCTTATCGATGTTCGTGAGAATGAAAAAGAATTTGTTGTTGATACCGAATTGCCTGTAGGTATTTAAATTATTGTATTTAGAAAGTTATACAAAAAACAGTTTTTACTGAATAATCATATTCCATTAAAACCAGGGCGTTAGCAAAGAACAAATCAATGTCGACATTCGAGACAATGTTCTATACATCTCGGGTGAAACCAAACCAGATGAAAAATATAAAGACTGTAGTACACATCTTCAAGAACGACATTATGGTTTGTTCTCTCGTGCTATTTCTCTTCCCCCGTACGTCAAGACCAATGAAATCTCGGCAAAATGTGAACACGGCGTTCTTGAGGTGAAGATTCCAAAAGGCGAAGCGCCGGGTAACAGGAAAATTACGATCCAATAGATGAAGTTTAAAAAGATAAAAAGCGAAAATTATATGTATGTGTATAAGGAATTTTAACATTTGTTTAACAAGCATTAAATATTGCGAAAAAATATATTTTTATTAGTAGCATCGTTATTTTCAGAACATTCATTATAATAAACTCGTTTATTTACATAAACTGTGCGTTGAATCCTGATTGCACGAAGAAAGTATTTGCAAATTGAAATTAAGTTTCTACTTGAACATATTTGTTCATGTTAATTCTTAAACCACGTATCTATTTTTAAAAACATGATTTTTTTAATATACTGTACATTTATATTTTTATTTATTTATTTTAAAAGAAAAAAAATTCACTTTTTTATTACATCCACAAATTCAATATTATTCAATATATTGTATTCAATAAACATGATGTTTTTATTAAAGAAAAATAATAATAATTAATTTACCAATTTACAATATACTGTATACTGAATTTTGCATTTACAGTATATTAATATATTTGTTTTTTAGCAAATATGTTTTTATTGTTATACACGATATTTTTAAAGCATTTTGTAAAAATCTTATAATACCTTATATGCAAACATGTTAGGCTTTTTTTTTTATTTTATTGATTTTTTAAGTATTATATTAAAAATAAACTAGAAAAATTATTATAAATATATATACAGTATATAAGTATAAGAATATAGAAAAAACATATAAGGACATGTTAAATAATAACAATTGATTGCGCAAATTTTTATTGTCAATTTTTGTGATTTTATAAATTGAAATGTATTGATTTTGAAAAAAATTAATTTATTTAAAATTTCAAGGATTTTAATATTGTATGTTGTAATTTAAATACAATATGAAAATTTATACTTATAAATCAAATTGTATTATTAAAAAAAACATTTATTAATTTATTTTGATTATTGATAAAGTAATATAATTTATTTATGGAAACTTATGATTTTAAATTTTTAAAAGAACATAAATAATAATAATAATATTATTATTATTATTATAATAATTTTTTTTTATTAGATAATCCATATAAATAATATATGTAAATATTAATATAATTAATACTTTTAATAGGTTTAAACTTAGATTATCTTTTCTAATTAAATATTAATTATTTTACAAATAAAACAATACAATATATAACTTTATTATTGTAATATTGTTAAAAACTCTTTGTGATTAATAAAAAATTCAAAAGTTTGATTTTTATTTAATTTTTTTAATAGTCAATTTTTTAATTAACTATATCAACTGATTAAATTAATAAAAGCATATTTTATTAACTATATGTAAAAGTCTTAAAGAAACTGTTAATAATTTCAAAAGACAGTGAACTTTAGTGTTTTAATTTTAAACGCCAACAGA